GGGGTACCAGTGATGTCCTATTTTGTGACCTTGAGTGGTGATGAGTGTATTCAATTTATAATTTATTTAGCTGTACCTTTGTGATCTGACCACTGTATGCATGTTATATGTCAATAAGAAATAGTTCCATATCAAGGGTAAGAAGCTTAAAGCAGTTTGCCCTGACTTCAGGCAATAAGTGAATTTCTGTAATGAATTTAAAGACAATAATAAAACTGATGAAAAACAGTCTATTTTCTTTAGTATCACCAAGTGTCAGTGAATACCAGCTATTGAACATTAAATTTATCATCAGAGATTATCTCCTACCAAAAAAAAAATGTGTTGAAAATTCTAGTGCTTCCCCTCTATTACAAGAGCTAAATATATTAGATTTAAAACAGTTACTTATCTACAGGATTTTTTAATTCAATAATTGTACTAGGAACTAGGAGGGGTGAAAATGGGAGGGAGGTGCGGAGGGATGGGTGGGTGGACTGGGAAGGGAGTAAAGGACAGAAAACTGTACTTGAATAACTATTAAAGTAAAATTAAAAAAATAATAATTGTACTAGGTAGTTAACAGGAGAAAAGATAGCAAATCTACTATCACAGTGGCCAACATGTGTATTACCACCTGAGTAAATTCTTTTCCCTCAATCCTTATCATTTTTGTAGTGTTCTTCTCAATGTTAAAGACAAAAAAAAAAGCACAAAATCAGAAACATGCCTAAGGTTCTTAGAGAACCTAAATTAGGGGAGAAATGTTTTAACAATTTTTGCTTAACCTTTCTATGATCTCGGTAATCAAAGGCAAGGAACAATTAAGTAAAATGTAAATAATAAGTAAATTAAGTTTCTATAAATCTATTAATTACTATAAAATATTTATGAAATAAATAGTACATACAACAGGAAATGCCTTCAAACAAACAAATTTTTAAGAACAGACACACAGATCAATGCAACAAAATAGAGAGCACAGAAATAAATGTCTTTGTGGTCAACTGATATTTGACAAAGAAGGCAAGAGCATACAATGGAATAAAGACAGTCTCTTCAATAAATGCTGTTGGGAGAACTGGACTGGTACATGCAAAAAAAATGAAACCAGACCACCATCTTACACCATATACCAGAATAAACTCAAAATGGATAAAAGACTTAAATGTAAGTTGTGATACCATAAAAATCCTAGAGAAAAATATAGGTGGTAAAATTTCAGATATCTTGCATAGCAATATTTTTGCAAATACATCCTCTACTGCAAGGGGAATAAAATAAAAAATAAACAAATGGGACTACATCAAATTAAAAAGCTTCTGCATGGCTAAAGAAACCATCATCAAAATAAAAGGGAACTGACTGCATGAGACAACATATTTGCGGATGACACATTGGACAAGGGTTTAATCTCCAAAATATATATAGTTTCTATGACTCAACACCAGGAAAACAAACAATCCAATTAAAAAATGAGCAAAGAATATCAACAGACACTTCTCCAAAGGAGACATACAGAGGGCCCAAAGACATATGAAAGGATGCTCAACATCACTAGTTATCAGAGAGATGCAAATTAAAACCACAATGAGATATGACCTCACATCTGCCAAAATGGCTATCATTAATGGAACAACAAACAATAAGTGCTGGCAAGGACGTGGAGAAGAGAGAATTCTAGTGCACTGTTGGTGTGAATGCAGAATAATGCAGCCATTGTGGAAAACAGTATGGAATTTCCTGAAAAAACTGAAAATGGAACTGCCTTTTGACCCAGTGATTCCACTCCTGGGAATATATCCTAAGAATCCCGAAACACCAATTCAAAAGAATTTATGCACCTTTATGTCCATAGCAACGCTATTTAAAATAGCCAAGATTTGGAACAACCTAAGTGCCCATCAGTAGATGAGTATAAAAAAAAACTGCGGTACATCTATACGATGGAGTACTATGCAGCAAAAAGAAAGAATTCCCACCATTTGTGACAGCATGGATAGAAATGGAAACTATTATGCTAAGTGAAATAAGCCAGGCAGTGAAAGACAAACACCATATGATCTCACTTATAAGAGGAATCTAATGAACAAAATAAACTAATAAGCAAAACAGAACCAGAGACATGGAAACATAGAACAGACTGACACTGGCCAGAGAGGCAGGAGGAAGGGGATAATGGTGGAAAGAAGGGGAAGGGATCAAAGAACATGTATGAATGACCCATGGATATGGACAAGACGTGGGAACTGACTGTGAGAGTGGTGGGTGGGCTGGGCGGAGGAAGACAAATAGGGAAAAACTGGGACAACTGTAGTAGAACTGTGGTACATTTACACAATGACTACGCAGCAGAAAGAAAGAATTCCTACCTTTTGTGACAGCATGGATGGAACTGGAAACTATTATGCAGAGTGAAATAAGCCAGTTGGTGAAAGACAAACACCATATGATCTCATTTATAAGAGAAATCTAATGAACAAAATAAACTAATGAGCAAAACGAACCAAAGATATACAACCATGGAACAGACTGACAGTTCTCGGAGGGGAGTGGGGAGGCAGAGACTGACTGAAAGGTGAAGGGAGTAGTCAGAGAACATATATGAAGAACCCATGGACATGGACAACAATGTGGTGATTGACTATGGAAGTGGGGGGACAAGCTGAGTGGAGGGGGACAAAAGGGAGAAATTGGGACTATAATAGTATAAACAATAAAATATTTAAAAATAAAAATAAAAAAACAGATTTTTAAGAGATATGTGATGGCCCAACTCAACAGTTCTTAAATTCTAATATGCATATTAATTTGGAGTTTGTGAAAAATCAAAATGCCCAAGTGCTTTTGTATCAGAAATTCTGTAAGTAAGGATCAAGCTCTGTACTTCTATAGTTTCCCAGTTGTCACTTAGGCATATCAAAATTTAAGTACCACAGACCTAATTATTTATAAATCTGGAAAATACAAGCTGTAGAATAATTATACTTTCTTGGTACAATTGTAAAATAAAATATTAGAACAATGCATTTCAAAAATGACAACGCACAGTACTAAAAAATAATATGTCTACAGGTTAGTACCACACAGAAAATAGCAGTGCAATAAACTCTTGGTTAGGAAAACTCCTGTTGCTATCTTTACTCTAAAGCAATTTTTTAAAAATCTTGGCTGAATTTCTCTATAACTAGGCATAGAAACTAAAAGGCTTCCCAATATAACAACAAAAAACAAACCTACTGCAAAAGGTGCACTCATTCTTTAACACTCTGTATGGAAAAAATACCAGTAATAATCAATAAATGCATTACCATTTTGGTAATACTTACTTAAAACAAATAACTAGTTTATTTGTACCAGATACCTGCAAAGAATAATGAAGAATTTGACAAGCAAAACTGATAAGGCTTGCTGTTGTTCCTCTAACCCATCTGCCATTTTCTGAACACAGTGTAGTAGCTGGATCCTCAGAACCTGCAGGATATTGTCAGGAAGCAGAGATATTCCTGGAGGCACGTCATCTACCCTACAATATAAGGGGAACAAAATAAGAAGAGTGTTTAAATACAAGGAAGAAAATATCTTCCTTGTAATTCACATATTAGAGGAATTGTATATTCAGCTCAAATCCTAAAGAAGCTCTTTTATTCCAGATATTCTGTGCCTTCTTCTCTGCAAGACACCACCAGATGACAAGTGACACTTTAGAAGATTTTTAGAGAGAAGAGGTTAGTCTTACTTCAGAGGAGGCTTACTGAAAAGAGAAAAAGACAGAGAGGCTTTTTATATTTTAAATTTTGCTATTTTTAAAGAAAATTTTTAGAACATAAATTAGTTCATTTTCTATTTAAAAATGTAACATATCCATGTATGTCTGCATACCATTTCTAAAAAAAACCCCCAAAAACTAGCAAATAGAAATAGGTATTATTTAGTACCTATACTAAACAATATTCACCTACCTGTAGGTTACCCAAGCCATGTGATCAGAAGAGGAGAGAAGATAATCAGCAAAAGAAAAGCAAAAAGATAAAGAGGTAAATGTAAAATCTCAAGTATAAGAATCAACAGATTTTTTAAGTAATATTTCAATATTTTTCACAACTGGTTTCTGTTTAAGAAGACAATATTATTAGCCCTGGCCAGGCAGTTCAGCTGATTAGAGATTTGTCCTGATACGAAAAGGTTGTGGGTTCCATCCCTGGGCAGGGACCAACCAATGAATGCATGAATGGGTAGAACAGCAAATCAAGGTTTCTCTCTTTCTCCCTTCCTCTCTCTAAAAAATTAATAAATTTTTCAAAAACATTTTCAAAAGACTATATGTTCTTCAAGGGCAAAAACCAACATGAGATGTGACTGGCTCCTCTGTGTGTCTCTTAAAATAAAAAGTCCCTAGATTCTAAGTCATAAGACCTGCATACTAAATTCCACCTCTGTAACATGAAGCACTTCATTTAATCTCTAAAGTTCCCTAGTCTATAAAACTACAGTGTCATCTGCCTTATTTCACAGGGCTCTGAAACCAAAAAGTCAATGTGCATTTTCAGCTTTGAAATATGTAAAAAACTCCAAAACAAGTAACATATTTTCCGTATTTTGTATAATCACTAAAGCCTAAGAATCTTTCGTAAGTCACTTTTTTCCCTATCTCTATTCAGAAAAATGTCCAAATCCCAAAGGAGCACCCTAAAAATCTTCTACTGTTAAATAACAATTATACCTTGCAATTATCTACCAACAATGCTTAGTATAAAGTATTACTATTCTTACACTGAATAAAAGGCTACTCTGTTCACTGTGGACAGAAAAATTTAAAGCACATTACTAGTAATCACATAAAAATATATGATATTATTAGCTTCTCTGAATTACACTGCAATGTAAAGTGTTTTATAAAATAAACACATGACTTTAATTAAATTACACAGAAAATAAATCACAGGGTACATTACCAAGATTGTCAAATTCTATAACCATGGTACGAAAATACATGTTCCATTTTAGTGAAGTTAGGGTAAACAATATCTCTGGTATTGAAGAGGTAAATATGTTCACAAACCAAGGAACAGTGATCCACTTTAACAACCCTAAAGTTCAGGCATCTCTGGCAGCAAACCCTTTCACCATTACAGGCCACGCTGAGACAAAGCTGCTGACAGCAATGCTACCCAGCATCTTAAATCAGCTTCATGCAGACAGTCTGACTAGTTTAAAGAGACTCGCTGAGGCTCTGCCCAAACAATCTGTGCATGGAAAAGCACCACTTGCTACAGGAGAGGATGATGATGAAGTTCCAGACCTTGTGGAGAATTTTGATAAGGCTTCCAAGAATGAAGCAAACTAAATTGAGTCAACTTCTGAAGATAAACTTGCAGAAGTTACTGGGAGCTGCTGTTTTATATTATGACTGCTTTTACAAATTTTGTTTATGGATCTGATAAAATATAGATCTCTAATATTTTTAAGCCCTAGCCCCTTAGACACTGCAGCTCTTTTCAATTTTTGCTTCTACACAAATCATTTTTTTTTTGGCAGCTAATTAAGCTAAAGAAGCCCGGGAATAAAGTTTGAAACTAAAGTTAAAAAAATAATAATAGTATGTCTGAGCATAGCTTCACTTGTAGCTGTGGAATCTTTCATTCTCTCTTATTTATAGATGGTGCCAGAAAAGTCTCATTTTTACATATACTTTTTTCTTGCCTGAAAGCTAAAATAGAGGTGATCAGAATAACCAGAGTAACTTCAAAGTAATATACAAAGATTTAAACATAACTTATTTTCAAGATTAAGCTGAACTTTTCCTTCTCGATTTTTCAAAAACAAACAAGAAAGACAAAATCATGTTTCTTAATATTCAATCCTAGTTACTTAAAGGATTAGTCCCTTTTATCTTTAGGTGTCTCATTCTCTATCTGTACATGCTTTTTACCTTACTAGACAGAAAAAGAAATAGCTTCTAAAAGAGAAACTTATGCTTGAATTGTTTTCTAATCTCATTATAAAACTGGGGCTTGGTTAGAACATGATGTTTAGACAAAGTTAAAATTTTTAGCCATGTTCCTAATACGATGAGGATTTAAGAATACAGAAACATTTTCCCACCTCTAGGACTTTATTGCCCAAAATTCTACATTCCTTTTTGCTGAAATTTCCCACATCTGTTCCAGAAATCTGTTTCACTCCTCTGTTTGGCTACTGAATGTCTGTACTAAAGAGCTGATAATTGTCTCAATCTATCACAGAAAGAAGTCCAGCTTAAATTTCAAGGCTTTAAATTCTAGTAAAAACAATCCTTGCCTTGTGTTATAAATTCTCTAACTTGTAAATTCTATAAAGTCAGTTTACTTTAAATGATCACATGAGATTTTCTTATTTTTAAGGTTGACTAAATTAATTTCATACATCTTGGACATAGCATTTACTTGAAAAATTTAAAGTTTACTACTAGTAAAATCTAAATTTATCATTCAGTTTTCTGACAAAGACACAAAATACAATTTTAAATAAGCCAACAAAATCACAAATAAAGCAATGCTCCTGGCATGCTTTCACTTACTTTTAATACAGTAGTAGCAATATATGTTTACATAATGTTTTTAGAAATGATGCCCCCCCAAAGAAACATTAATAATGAAAAGATGGTAACAAGTGCCACTTAGTAAACCCCAACTATTTGAAGGCCCAAATCTTAACTCCATAAAAATCTCTTAGGCTCATCATTTGAAATGAGCTGTAAATTATTTAAGACATATTTCTAAAAACAAACTGTAATAATACTTTATGAGTAGAAAAGCAATAACATATAATCTTATTTTGAGTTAGAGACTTAATACTGTATAAACCTGTTACAAATACTCACAATCTAATGAAGAACTCTGAAACTGTATTTATAAATAAATACTGCTGCTTTTGGAGCATAAGCACATCCTTTCTTTAGTTTGATGCATTGGTTAAAAGTTCTACTAAGTTCTTTCTCTAAATTATTACAATCACCTCTGAACTGGGCTTCTTGCCTGCATTCTCAACCCTTTTCAATCCAACCTCCAAATGTCACCAAAGCAACTTTAAAAACAGCTTGATTATGATAGTCATGGACAGAAAAGTCTTTACTAGAGACTTCCAAAGAAAATCAAAGTTCATTAACAGTGTACACCTGGCACTTCACCATCTGGCCTCCCACTTGATTCTCAAGATTCAACTCATCTGTGCCTACCCTCTTACTGCCTGCCTCCATCCCCAAAGTGCAAATGCTTTCCTCCTCAAAGATTTCTAATTCTCCAGATAGTCTTTCTCATTCTTCATCAAACACCACCCATTTCTCCCTTCCCCCTCAACACATCTTTCTAAATGGGGTTTCTTTTGTAGCTAAAGTGTCTACTCATTTCTCCAGCTTTTTAACCCAGCCAACCTAACCTCTATTACCTGACCTACAAGTAGCAGATCTTGAAGATGGCTTGAGATACAACTTTATCTGAGAAGTGGATCTGGGAAGTGTGAGAGTTGGGAAATGGTGGTAGGAAGAAGAAGGGGAGAAAAGACTTGTATTTGCACTTTGCCATAAGATTTGAATTGTCCCCCATTTATTGATGTTCGAATCTAGCTTTTAAAAATATAAATACTTAACCTCCTCTCAGTTGCTCTTATAAGGCCCTACTCTACAGCCAGAAATAAATGTAAGTTTCAACTCAAATGCCTGTGGTATAATAAAGAAATTTTATGCAAATGAAGTGGCTCACGGTGGGCCCTTAGACAGTTCTGAGAGGAGCTAGCCGCATCTGAAAGACCTCTCTTCCCCTCTATTTTCCAGGAAAGAGAACTTGGTGATTGAGTTCAACCATACGGTCAATGAGGTAATTAATAAAGACTGAATAAAACTCTGGACACCCAAAGCTCAGAGAGTTTCCTTATTGGAACACACTGTTTACAGGGAGGGCAACATGCCCTGACTCCATAGGGACAGAGTATAGAAGCCCTGCATCAAAACCTTTCCAGGCCCTGTCCTCAATGAATCCTTTATGACAAAACCATAACCACAAGAACAGTGCTTTCAGTGAGTTCTGTGAGTTGTTCTAGTAAATCGCTGCACCTGAGGAAGTTGTGAGACCTCCCAAATTTATAGCTAGTTGGTAAGAAGTGTGCAAAGCTCCTAAGACTTGCAAACAGTGTTTGAAGTAAAGGTTGTCTAATGCAGTACTTTGCCCTTAAGTTGCAGATTCTGTCACTAACTCCACGTAGTGTCAGAACTGAAGTGAATTGCAGGCCATCTAGCTGCCAGGGGCTGACGAAAATGGAAAAGGGCCTTCCAGAAGCGAAGTCTAGTATCAGCAAAAAAAGACTGCTGTGTTCAATTAGTAATATCTACCCTGAGAGCATGGTTATATAATATAGAGTATCGTTGTGTGTCACATAACTGCTCTCCTTGTATATGTCACCAATGAAGTCTTTGTGCCAAAAATTAACAAACTCACCCAACAGTAAGATTATTAAGTGTTTCTACATACCTGGTAGGCAGCTTTTCAAAGTCAACATCTAAGAATTGTTCATAGCTGGAAACAAAATTGTCCAACCATAGTTTCAGGTAATCTGGATCTTTCTGAAATAAAAACATTTGTGTATTAAGGCTATCTGTGAGGGAAAAAAAAGTTTTTACTCCTATTAAGCAAATGTAAGTGGATAAATCTAAAGAAGAAATAAAGCCCTGGTCGGTGTGGCTCAGTGGACTGAGTGCCAGCCTGGGAACTGAACGGGTGCTGGTTTGATTCCCAGTCAGGGCACATGTCTGGGTTGTGGGCCAGGTCCCCAGTAGGGGGGGTGTGAGAGGCAACTAATCAATGTATCTCTCACACATCAATCTCTCCCTTTCTCGCTCTGTTCTCTCTCTCTAAATAAATAAATAAAATGTTTAAAAAAGAAGAAATAAAATGAAATTTCTAAGTGATACTCAGGAAGACATATGTTCTAAGCACAGTCAAACCTCCGTTCTGGAACAATTTGGTCCTTGACCAGGTTGTTCATTTAAAAACAAACAAAAAAAAAGGTTCAGTTGCCCTGACTGTTGTGGCTCAGCTGGTTGGGTGTCATCCTGTAAGGCTAAAGGTCACCGGTTGGATTCTGAGTCCGGGCACATCCCTGGGTTGCTGGTTGAGTCCTGGTTGGGGTGCACACAAGAGGCAACTGATGGATGTTTTTCTCTGTTTCTCCCTCCCTTCCCCTCTCTCTAAAATAAATCAATAACTTAAAAAAAAAGTCTCAGTTGTCTAACAAACTTCAGGTCTCATTTCTCTACCTGACAACCCTCTCATGCTTATACCTGTATGGTCAGTCATGCATCTTTCATGTAACAAACAAAGGAGATTCTGTTTTTGAACAAATTGGTTCTCCAACAGTTTTCTGGAACAAATTAAGTTAGAGAATGAAGGTTCCACTGTATAGTGAACCCACAAATGGCTTTGCGCATCCCTCACATGAAGAGTTCCAGTCTTAATATTCCATAAGACTTAAAAATTTGCCCTCCTCGCTCTCTGTTACCTTATCCATTATTACCCATACTACATTGGCTTGCTGGCTGTTACAGGGACATGCCAGCCATGCCCCAACCTTAAGGCCTTTGTAATGGCTGTTTTCTCTCCCGAGAACACTCTTCCCTCAGGTAGCTGAATGGCTAACTCCCTCATTTTCTTCAAGTCACTCTTTAAATGACATTTTCTTTTTTTTTTTTTTGAAGTGGTTTTATTTTTTTTTGGTTTTCGTATGTGGCTTTTTAAAAATATTTTATTTATTTATTTATTTTTAGAGAGGGAAGGGAGAAAGAGAGAGAGAGAGAAACATCAATGTGCAGTTGCTGGGGGCCGTGGCCTGCAACCCAGGCATATGCCCTTACTGGGAATCGAACCTGCGACACTTTGGTTCGCAGCCCGCGCTCATAAATGACACTTTCAATGAAACCTAATTCTACCACCCTTTCTTAAAATTGCAAACCTTTTAAAAATTTTTAAAGACTTTATCTATTTTTAGAGAGTGGAAGGGAGGGAAAAAAGAGGGAGAGAAACGTCAATGTGTGGTTGCCTCTCACATACCCCCAACTGGGGGACCTGGCCTACAACCCAGGCATGTGCCCTGACTGGGAATCAAACCAGCAACCCTTTGGTTCTCAGGTCAGCCCTCGATGCACTGAGCCACACCAGCCAGGGCAAATTGCAAACCTTCTTACTCACCTTTACCTTGCCCCATCTGTTGCCCCCACTTCATGTTTCTTTCTCACCTTCTAACATACTCTGTAATTTACTTATTTGTTAATTTGTCTGTCATTTCCCATAAAATGGAGGTTTCACAGTGTAGGGCCTA